CTACTTGAACACTAAAGGTGCCCTCCAATGAGATGACAGTGCGAGCAGTGGCCCACAGCTCATTTAAGTTTGAGACTCCTGCTATGTAGCACTCAAAACACTTTATAGAACATGTTTCATTCACCCATTCACACAAGCACTTTTCTCTGTGTCCAAGTTTCTAGCTAACATTAGCACTCCTATGAATACATCAAGAGCAACTCCGGGTTCAGTATCTTGCCCAAGGCATGCAGCCTGGAGCAGCAAGGGATCAAACCACCAGCTTTCTAGTTAGCAGATGTCCTGAACTACCTACTCAGCCACAGCCATCCCAATGGGCCACCCCTTATTGGCTAATGACACATGAGTTCCAATTCTTTATCCACAAAGTCTCCCAGTGAGATCCACTCCTCATTCATGTAAAAAGGGTTGGAAAAAAATCAAAGTTTTGTATCTTAGAAATATAAGAATTTCTTATCGCTTATCAGAGGTTGAACATGTACTGATGGGTTTATCTCTTCTTGCACTTTATTCTGCTCTACTTTGTGATCCAAACTTACTGCTGAACTAAACTATCCCAGAATTCAACTCAGAATTGGTCACAGATAAATGTAATTAATTCAATCAAAGTGCTCAGAGAGTCAGATTCCCTGTAGGACGATTAGACGACTGATTTTTCTTCACAAACTTAAACGTCACATCATGTCTCCAGTAGCCATGGCGTGTCTCCAAAATACTTCTACAGATTTTTGTGATGTTTTGACTTCTGGTGCATGTTGGGAATTAGAGAGATCAGCCCCAGTGAAAGTGCAGATGAAAAACGGGCAGGGTTTTCATCCCTAACGCTTTGTTTCATCATCCGTCCATCACGGCCAATGATGAAAGGCCGCTCGTTACGCCTCCGGTGAGCGACTGGCACCGTTGGATCTAAATTCCACATCAGACCTCCTCACTGAGACAGACAGCCAGAGGTTATTAGAAGGAGCTCCAGGTTTGAGCACCTCAACACACACACACACATACACCCACAAACGCACACACACACAAGTACGCTCACCAGTGCAGCCTGTGATCTATGATTCATGTGCGCTCATTTAAAATTGTGTGAAATATTTAAAGTTGGCTGGTCGGCCTCAGAGGGTCGAATGACTGACCTCTCTGCTCTTATTACTGCATGTAGAGGAGGAGTGGATGGAGGAGGGGAAACGTTACAGGCAAAAAGGAGAGAAAGATAATAACATGGAAGTAAAGAAATGGACTGGATGCAGAAATGAAGAAATAGACTGATATTAACTTCATGATAGATTTGCCATTCTTGGTTATTCAGTCTTCATCTTTCGATTAACTGCTTTATGTTTGAAAAAATACAAACGCTGTGGTAGAGCCGATTTTCAGTCTCCCCTTTTTGTCATTTTTCAATGAAGCTTTTCATGGGTGTCACTGAAAATGGCTGGTAAGCGTGGTATATCCAAGTCTTTTTGCAATGCAATGAATGCTTCTGATAGAGCATTGCTGATGTTACTTCAAGTTCTTTGAAATTGTGATCACAAAAATCTGTTGGCAGTGAGTTAATTGTCATGCTTAAACTTTAAGCAGCTACTAATCAGGTGCTTTGGAGATTGTATTGCATGGTGGATTACAGTTGACGGTAGTTTTCTGTGTTCAGGATTCCAATAATTTTTAAAAGATTCGAAACTCCACCAGGTGAAATAAAGCCCCAGCCCATGACCGAGTCTTCACCATGTTTTACAGATAGCTGTAGAAGACACACAGTTGTACCTCTTTCTTGACCTCCTCCAGGCACATGGTATTGACAGCGACTTGAACCAAAAATTTCATATTTGAATTCAGTGCCTGTGCCTGGAGAACTATTGCTCAAGACTACTTTTAAAAAAAAGACAAACGCTGTCTCTTTCCACACAAAATATAGAGAAATTATGGGTGTCTAGAGAGTTCTGCACAGTAGTGTGCATCCATAGTATAGTCTCAACTACCGTATTTTTCAGACCATAAGGTGCACTGTCGATGAATGGGTCTGTTTTCATACATAAGGTACATAAAGCGAAACAAAACAGTCAGATAAGTCCAACTTTACTTCTTGCTTCCTCCACTTCCGTAACATTGATTCATTAATGTTGAATTCTCTCGCAGCTGCTCTATTCCCATGTTGTTGCAGTATATTAATGACTAACCTCATATTGTGGATGGATTATCTCAGTTGTTCTCCTGACTAAAGTTTCGCCCGTTTACAGCATCCTGCCATGCGATTGCATTTATCCCAAACTATCAGGAACCCTCACGTTAACTTTTATTGAGTGGAAAAAAGTTAGCGTTCATCCTCCAGCTTCACTATGTTTATGTTTTGCTTGTGTCGCTAGCGATCACATAGCACATCATTATATACCAGCTAGCCCAACTTCAGTAACCCTACAAATGTCACAGCTGTTTAGTTTTCTGTCTTCATTTATGTTGGAAGTGACAGCTGAGCTGTACTTTTTTAATTTTTTCAGAAATCTCTCAGTCAGAACATGCAATATCATGTTTAGGTGGAAAGTAGCGAGCTTACTTCCTGCTAACTTGTAACTCCATTAATTTAATAAATTCTGTTTTCATGGATGCCTGGATGTTAAACTTAATTGTTACACCTGCTAAAGCAGCAACGCTGATCATTTTATTAAAGATGAAAGAATTTAGACAGTTTTTACCTCTCAGTCATGCCGGAGTGTTCGTTTGACTTTGGGACCTGAAGGGACGAAGTTTTGGACCCAATTCTACAACTGAATTAGATATCAGGACATATTAAATCTTACACTAGGTCTCAAAATACAACCTGAATACCAGCACATGACATATTACACCATGTCAGTATTTATTTATCAAAAACAATTAGAGAGACTTTGGAGACTAAGGAGCAGCCAGGCGCTGCTAATGCATTTGATTAGCTGATCATCAGCAGGTGTGAGCTCCTCTATAAAGGCAAAGGTTTTGGCAGTTTGCTAGTCCGGAACGCTCAAGTGTGTGTTAACATTATCTCAAGGATGATCTTAGAAAAGCAACTGTTGCTATCCATCAATTTTGCAAGGGTTATAAGGCCATGTCCAAACAGTATGAAGGCCATCATTTTACAGTGAGAAAGTCTATTTAAAAGTGCGAAACAAGTTGTTGCTTAACCCTTGGAAAATTCATCACAAGGTCAGACTGTGCAATGCAAAGAAAAATTGCACAAAAAAACCAAACAAAACAGGATTAAAGCACAGTGGTGGAGGGGTAATGATTTAGGTACTCACCAGTCATTGAGTTGACCATGAACTCCTCCATATATCAAAGTATTCTAAATGGGAGACTATCTGTCTGACATCTAAAGCCTGACAAAAACTGAGTCATGCAATAGGAGAATCACTAGCAAAATTACAATGGCTGGAAATACTTTGTGACTGAGCCTTTTTGCAATGGCTCAGTCAAAGCCAAAAACTCAACCTCATTGAAATGCTATGATGGGACCATAAGAGAGCTGCTCATAAACAATTGCCTCTGCAACCCTCAGTGAATTGAAGTAATGTTATAAATAAAAGTTGACCAAAACGGCTCTACAATAATGTGAGGTAATCATAAAGTCATCCAAAAAAACGATTATTTCAATTTACTGCTAGTAATGATTGTTTTGCAAGCTACTGATTCATAGAACGTACTTAGTGTAGTGTTAGTGTAGAAACAGCCTGTTTTTCCACAGGATGTTCCTAGACTTTTGGCTTAATCTCTGTTTCAGCAACCACACTGAAATACATTATATTGTCAAAATAGTGTATTAGGTTGTTTTTCATCTGAAGTTACTTCTTTCTTTTTCTTTAGGCGTTGTCACAACAGATCATCTCCTTCCATCTCACCCTATTCCAGCATCCCCTACTGTCACATCAACCGCCTCTGCATGCCCTCCTTAACAACGTCTATGAATCTTCCTTGCCATCCGGGAAAGACAGCAACTTGGTCACAAAGTGGTAGTAAAATCACAGAGGGGGGTCAGCGGATGGTGATGTGCATAGAGGTCCCAAACCTTCTGCAGACTCAGACTTCAGATAAGCTCAATAACACGCAGTGGTGTAAAGCATGGTATTGCTGGAATCTTGAGCAGTGGAGATGTGTTGTCTGGAGCGACAAATCATGCTTCTCCGTTTGGCAATCTGATGGGCGACTGGGTTTGGCTGTTGCAAGGAGAACTGTACTTGTCTAACTGAAGTGTAAAGTTTTATAGAGGGAGCATGATGGTGTGGGGTTGTTGTTCAGGATTTGGGCTCGACCCCTTAGTTCCAGTGAAAGAAAGTCTTAATGATGCAACATACCAAGATATTTTGGACAATTTCATGCTGGCAACTTTGTGGGAACAGTTTGAAGATGGCCCCTTCCTGTTTCAACATGACTGCGCACCAGTGAACAAACCAAGTTTCATAAAGACATGGATGAGTGAGTTTGATATGGAAGAAACTGACTGGCCTGACCTCAACACCTTTGGGATGAATTAGAGCAGAAACAGCAAACCAGGCCTTTTCATCCACTACGAGTGTCTGACCTCACAAATGCTCTTCTGGATCCTAAACCTCGTGGGAAGTCTTCGCAGTCTTCGAAGTGTTGGTGAGTCAACATCACATTAAACCCTATGGGATGTCAATCAAGTTCATATGTGTGTGAAGGCAGACGAGTGAATACTTTTGGCAATATAGCGTAAATTTGGAACCTGCGAAGGACCAGATCTTTTTTGTTTATTATCTCCGAATGCATAAAATGTTGTAATTTAATAAAGTCCATCCATGTATCTGTAAAATACTTAACTGAGCTCAGACATTTTCATAAAGCTCAGATACTTTCTGACAAGAAACCAAAAAACCAACAGCTAAGGAAGAGCAAGAAAAGAAAGACGAAAGAAGAGAAAACCTGGCAGCCTGAGATGTAACATTATCCAGTATTCTGGCGAGAGGCGGGATGGCTGAATGTGTCAAACAGAAGAAATGATGCAATCTGGTAACAAATTTGAGAGAAAATTTTATTATGAATATGGCACCTGTAAGATGGTCAAAACCGGGTTACAGAAAGACAACCATGTATATGACATGTTCCTCTGAACGGATGAGAACCTAGCAAACTTATAAAAGAACAACTGCTATAAAAATGAAGTATGTACATTTTCGGATTTGCAGCATTATTCATGGTAAATGAACTCAAAAAGATGTCTTTCAAAAATAATAATAAAAAAAATAAGCCAGGCACTCAAAGTTAGCATCAGTTAGTCATGAGTTCCCCCCACTCTTCTGAGAGGGGGAAAAAAATAGAAATGTACCATAGTTTTCTCTTTTTTAATATTTTAATTTGTTTGTATTTAGAATTTTATAACACTGTTAACATTGATAATAAGAGATTCCCTCTCTCCCGTATTTCAGCTACTTGGCACCAAGTTCCTCATAAAAGAATCTGTATAATTGTACAAGAAATAGTTAAAAACACAGACACAGTTTTTTCACAGGTAAATGAAGTGATTTTTCAATATTTGTATTTCTTAAACACTATGTATTTTTGACAGCAGATGTGATTAAGGTTTTTAAGTTTTTAAAATCACCAGCAAAGTTTTCATTTTTCGACATAAAACACAGAAAAAACATTGAAACAGCTTGGACTGGCTGTTTGGTTTTTTGTTACATGTGGGTGTATTTCCTGGTTTTCATCTGAGTTATGTATTCCCCCACCCACCCCGCACCACTATCAACACCCACCGCTGTCATCACCACCTACACTATATCTCGTGCCCGATTCTTTACCAAACGGGGCAGCAGCGTCATTCACCTATGCCCCATCCCCCCACTTTTCATGCAAAACTGCCAAAAAGTAGAAAATGCTAAAATCTAGAGGAGCAGCAAAATGCTCCCAAAATGACAAATTTAACATTCAACCACAAACAACCCGACAATAAACTGGCAGGTCGGGTGGCCCAAACCACATTCCTCTTACTTGAGCGCAAAAACAAAATAAGCACATTGTTCAATTTCTTAACCTGGATTTGTTTCGTTGTTGTACACATTAGTTGCAGTAACAAGACATCGATTCTTCACAGACAGCACACAACCTACAGATTGGTTTTCCTGATGTGAAGGGGTGATGAGAGGCCCGGGTCGGTTTGATAACAGACTGGGCTCGACAGACTTTGAAAAAAGAAGAAGAAGAAAAAAGAAACTGCTCAACTGAAAATAAAAACAAACAGAACAACAAAAAACGAGGGTTCGACTATGAGAAATGCATCGGACAAACTTACTAAACATGCAGTTCAGTTTTCCAAAACACCTATAAAAATAGATTTATAGTGCGAAATATTTTTTTCTTCTTTTAGTTATTTTAGAAATCTTTAAAATCATTTTTTTATTACGTGTCCTGAAAGACTACCGTGATTTTTTTTTCTTCCCCCATGAACCACTTGTTTAACTTTGTTTGTCCCGTGAGAGAAGTTTGCGCAGGAAGTCAACAAGTTTTGGTGGGAACCAATGAAATACACCCAATGCACACAAGAAGCCCAAAGGGATCCTGGGAAAAGGTTTCACAGCTGAGGCATTTGTCTGGGTCATAAATCTACAGCTAAAATCTTACTTTAGGCTTTTCTTTGTCATAATTTGTTTCTAATATACTGTAAATATTTATTAGTTATCTAATAATAGCAGGAAACTTTGATTCCCAGAATTCCTTAGTGGCAAAAACATGGCTCCATAAACCTTTGAGCTAGTTAGAGAATCTTTTCATCTCTGAGAGAAAAGACAGTGAGATAAAGAGGTTTGTATAAGACTACACAACAGCAAAAAGCAATAGCAGAGAGAAAGATAGAGAAGGATTAGAAAACAAAATCAAAAGGTTTTACAAAGACAAAAAGGAAGCAGCGAAAGAAAAGGTGGACTCTGCAAACTTTTTTTTTTTTTTTGCTTTTTGCAAAGGCCACCGAACACGAAATTCCACGAACCTCCACTGGTTTCACTAAGACTGCTGATAGAGGGAGAAAGACAAAGAGAAGGAGTAAGAGAGACAAGGAGCTGTTGTTTTTTGGGGGGATGTCAATCATCCCATAGACTCCACCTCCTTTTCCCTCTAGCCCCTCCCCTCTCCTTTCCCCCACACTAGAGATAGAGCACAGAGAAGACAAAGGACAAAAACAGCTACAGTAGCTCAGTATATACTGCATATAGTCAACACACACAGAGAGAGAAGTCGCCATGAAAGACTTTTTGACAGCCAGTGACACTAAACACATTGGTAACACATTTTTACGTCTTAATCACACTGGGTAATAAGGATGGCAGGATGGCAAAGACGGGGCTGTCAGCTTTAAAAAGATGGATGGTGTGACAGTTTTTATACTGTTTTAATTATTACTTATCCTCTTTTTTCTCTTATTACCAAAAAAGTAGAAGAAATAAAAACACAAATGAACAAGAATCACAGTGCTTTTCAAACACTAAACTTGTGAGATTAAGCAATTCTTTTTTTTTCTCTTTTTTGGCAACGTAGACTCGGGGAAGAAAAGAACACGAAACACAAGAACAATGACAAAGACAACATTGTTTAAAGGAATGTGATTTTTTTCTTCCTCAAAAAAACAAACGCATATTCATTTTTTTCTTATAGTTATTAGATTGATTGTTTGATAGATTGATTGAAAATGCATGTCTTTATTACAATCTCCTTATTGATATGTGGTTTTTAATCACAGGGTCCGGCGATGAGATGGAAGAGAGTGGATTTTTTTTTTTAGGAATATCTTGCGGAGGTGGTTCTGGTTAAGGAAGAAGAAGAGGAGAAGAGAGGGGGGGGGGAGCAAGGAATAAAGTAACTGCATAACAAAACAGTGATTAAACAAGAACCGGTCAAGGTTGTCAACATTCATTTCTTAAGTTAGTGCTGCTAGCTAATTAGACTCAGTCTCACTGAGCATTTAATGTGATTAAGTTAAAAAAAATACATACAAATAAAAACAACACTGTACAGCCAAAAATTCAACCAATCAACTCCATGTTGCGCTGCCCCTTGTGGCCCAATCAGAATGGAGAGGGACATGTAGGTGAAACATGGAGATAATGTTGCTGATTTACAGGTTTTTCCTGTGTTTCTGACTTTCCTGAAGGTCAGAAAAACAAACAAACAAACAAACAAACAAACAAACAAACAAAAACAAACTTTAAAATCTTTCCCCCCCTCTAAAAAATAAAAAAAATGATATCAGTCTATCAACGAGCTGTGGGTTTGTTTACAGTACCCACATCAGCCAGCTGAATCAGGGTTACTGGACGGTCGGTAGCACCACAAATCTGTAGAATTGACAGGAAGAAATGTGGACAGAAACATGAAAGGTCAGGCAGACAGCGTGAAAGATAAGAGAGAGAGCGACAGATTGAGATGGGAAGAGGTGTAGAGGAGGCTATGTTTGGTGCGAGACCTGTAGGTAAACTCCTGGGATAAAAGAGGAAGTAGTAACATTCGATAATTCACAGGTCATTACCCGGCTGAAATTGCTTTTTTTTTTGTTTTTCTTTTTAATGCTTGATTCGTAAGTGAAATCTGAGCTAGAATATTTTATATATATAAAAAAAAGGATAAAAGTAAAAGAAAAAAACAGCATTAATTCACTAAACTATTCCCTCAATTGAGAAACTTTCTCAAAAAACCTTTTTTCAAAAGATTATCTCTGAGACCTTTGTGGGGCGCAAGAGAGCACCGTCCTCTCGGTTTAAAAACGTTCTTTTCAAGCCTTGATCACATCAAGATACATAAGAAGGAACGCCACATAGAGTTCTCTGTCTGTTACAAATCCCTGTACCGTCCTCCTTTAAATACACACAATCCACATCTTTATAAAGATGCAACAGAAACAAGTCAAATAATAAAAATTATCCCCATCAGGCTCCAACTGAGTCCTTAGGCAATATGAATTCTCTGTAGGCAAAAAAGGGGTTCTTTACAATAAAGAATAGTCTGGGGTTTTTTTGTTCAAGAGAAAAGAGTTGCTGATCGCAAGAAACGGGAGCAAAGCGAGAGACTGAGAGAGGAGAAGAGGATGAGGAGGAGAGAGAAAACAGATAGAAAAGGGGGACAAGTTTGAGGGTCACGTCTGTTACGCAAGCTCAGTTTCTGAGATTCAAAGTGCTAGAGTACATCTGTCATCCTTTCCTTTCTCTTCTCTCGGAAACACAGTGCTAAACCGTGTTGATAAAACAAGTAAATAGTCTTTCATTTTTATTTACTAGTGAGCAGTCTTTGACACAGTTGTTGATTCCGAAAACACAGTAATGCGGTCTTGGATACTTTCTGCTAATCCTCCTTCCTCTCCAGTGTTGTCTGCGTGGTATGGATCCCGTTGCTGTACACTGGGAATGGTAGCGTTGAGAACAGTCCCTCTGCCGTGGTGAAAACATTGGCTGTTGTTGGCATCTGACCTCCAAGGGCACCGTTCCCACCTGTGGCAGTAGGAGATCCGACAAAGGGGCCAGCAGCTGCCGCAGCAGACATGTTGAGCCTGTGGACATGATGGTAGAGCATCTCCATGGGTGTCTTAGGGTCCAGGCCGAACCCTGAGCCGTCAACAAAGTTCATGGCAGCATTAGGGAGGAGGTTGCCTTGTGCCATAGCCAGAGTTACGTCCGCTGGCGCATACCTGATGGTCCCAGTGGTGTAGACCCGTGGAGCTGTCGTGCTGGTGGAGGCCAGAGTACCTGTGACTCTGTGGACCAGCGGAAGCACCACGTTACCAGCTTGCAGGCGCTGAAGTGCTTCAAGGTCCCCAGAGTACAGCAGTGAAGAAGAAGAGGTTGAGGAGGATGAAGAAGAAGATGAGGAAGAAGAGGTGGTGGGAGTGCCTTGTTGCTTGTCCCGTGGGGATGCAGAAAGGGGAGGGGATAGGGGGTCGGCAGAGGAGGCGCTGGAAGGAGGAGCTAAGCTTACAGCGCTGGAGGCAGAGGATGGGGCTGAGCTTCCATTGTAAGGGGGTTTCCTCACTCCTCCTGCTCCTCCCTCAGTTCCAGGAGGGGTGAGGACAGAGTCAGGAATGGCTACCTGGAGAGATCCTCCCTGTGGTGAGGGGAAGGTCTCGTGGCTCCCTGGAGCAGATGGCTTGGAGGTCATGCTGTATGGAGACTCGTTTCTGGAAATTTCCCTGTTGGGAGGGTAGTTCCAGATGCTGCTGTCATTGTCAAAGTTTATTGGTTCTGCCATCTCTGTCTTAATCTTCAGAACTGAGGATGCTGCATTTGCACTGTTTGGGGAGCCAGATGAGGCTAAGAGATGGGTGGAGGTTGCGGTTGTGGCTTGGGAGGGGTCGACTAGCGGAGTGGTATCGCCTATTGCTATGGGACTGGGTGTAGTTGAAGACAGACGAAGCCTCCTGCTTCGTGAGCCATCCCATTTCTGCACTTTCCTCCTCTTTCGCCTTTTCTGCAGCTTGCTACCAGCATTGACACTGTCACAATCTTGCACGCACCCATTGTCATCCTCGTCATCTTCTTCATCCTCCTCTTCTTCTTCTCCTTCCTCTTCTGATGAAGACGTTTGGGAGCTACGCAGCTGTACGTCTTCCCCTTCTCCGTAGTGCTCTACTTTAATATGAAGCCCACCTAGGTTACCCAGTCCACCGATGGCACCCAGACTCCCTAATCCTCCAAGCCCTGCTAACCTTCCCAACCTTCCTCCACCTCCACCTCCCCCTCCACCTCCTCTGCCAGCCTCTTCTTGCTCCTCACCCTCTCCATCTGAAGGTTCCAGACTGTCATCACTGTCCTGGCTCTCAGGGTTACTTGAGCTATCTCCTTCTTCTTGGCGCTTCATTTCTTGTTCAGATGAACAGTGTGACTGGCCGGGTTGCTGCTGACGTTTGCTGTCTGTCTCTGGGTCCTCACTGTGTTCTGTTTGGTGGCCGGGCTTCTCCTCTGCCTTGGTGTTCTCGTTGTCTGTCGAAAAAAAATATTTGTTTATAATGCAGAAAAAGAAGATTCCAGTTACAGTCGAAACCATTCTAGACATAAGTAGATTCTTAATATTTGGCAGTATGATATCTTCCCAGAGCAGCAACAAGTCACTGCATGAACACATAAAATTGATGATGTAGTCAAACACAGCATGAAGGGAAGAGCTGTTGCAGGAATGGGTTGCAAAGTGATTTGCAAATGCAGCCAGTGCTGTGGCAGATCCTGACTTCATAACCTGCTTGAACTAATGCTGTGCACCATCGTTTCAACCATTAATTTACTTGTTAATTACAGTCCATTAACCATCTGAACCATGTGAACTCACATTCATGATATAGAGGTGTGGCTTTAGTAATGGAAAAGAAAATCATTAGATTTGTTAATTGCTTTGATATGGAGTGAATCAAAAACTTTGATGCACTGACATAAAAATTATGCTCCAATGTTGTGGAAAAATTTATCCTGATGTTGTAACAGTGAAGAGTTTCCCTAAAAAAACAATAAGATTTATACTCTTGGAAACACAAGTGTCTTGGCACTCCATCCAGTGAGTGTGTCAGACTGACTTGCCAACACTGCCATTGAATACCTGCGTAATTCTGCATGCCCCCTTACATTTTTCAGGACAGGTATTCCATGTGTTGTTTTCTGGATGCACTGATGTGTGCTCAGTATCCATAGCTGCTTCTGTTCAGGCATGTTGGCTCTGTCTAGCCCATTACACACACAACACATACACACTTTAAACTCTGCCAGCACACACATAGGCCAGGCCAGCGGCTGCCCAGCTGGCAGAGCTAAGACTCCCTAATGGCATCCGAAATGTCGACTCAATTGCTTTGTCTGGGGGAAACCTTGTATCTCCATTAAGTGGGCTTTCCAAGCAAAACAGATGTATTCCAAGCCTGAAAATTAAAAATGGACCGGTAGTCTTAAAGGTTCCTCCCAACCAGGGAGGTTCAATATAAATGAAATATCATTTCACAATAAAATGGAGTCAAGTATTTTCATAGACCATGAGATCACATGAAGAAGACATTTCAACAACTACACTGTGAAATACACTATATTGCCAAAAGTATTCACTTGTCTGCCTTCACACACAAAACTTGAGTGACATCCCATTCTTAATCCACAGGGTTTAGGTATAACAGCTACAGCTCTTCTGAGAATATATTGTATAGCACACTTTGAGTGTGCGGGTAGTGTAGAAAAGCACTGTATAAGAACCACATTTACCATTTTACCAAGGCTTTTCACAAGGTTTAGGAGCGTCTTTATGGGAATTTTGGACCATTCTTCCAGAAGTGCTTTTGTAAGGTAAGACACTCATATTGGAGAAGAAGACCTGGCTCACAGTCTCTGCCCTAATTCATCTGAAAGGTGTTCTATTGGGTTGAGGTCAGAACTTTGTGCAGGCCATGTCTTTATGGACCTTGCTTTGTGCACTGGTGTGCAGTCCTGTTGGAACCGGAAGGGTACATCCCCAAACTGTTCCCATAAAGTTGGCAGAATGAAATTGTTCAAAAAGTCTTGCTCAGCCGATAACAGTTCTTTTCACAGAAGCTCTTAACTCAGAAAGTTGGTAATATTCTGTAATTTACTGAGCTCCTCTGAGTGGCCCATTCTTTCACAAATGTTTGTGGAAGCAGTCTGCATGCCTAGGTGATTGATTTTACGTGGTCATGGAAGTGACTGGATTGCCTGAACTCAGTCATTTGAATGGGTGAGTGAATACTTTTGGCAGTATGCGTATCTGATACCCAATCTTTGGATAGTGCTATCAGGTCGAGGACATCTTGAATTATGCTGCTCATTTTCTTATTTAATTCTGACTGGTTTCTCTGTAAATGCATCTGACAAGGCTAGTTAATACACAACACTGCTGCTCTTCTGTCCCAGTGTCGTTGGCAACGACACTGAGCATGCATTTTTACATTACTTCAATTTTTTATTTATTTTATTTGTGAATCAGGAGGTATTTGATGGGAAGGATTTTCAGCTGCGGATTAATCCATATTGTTGTAATAATTCACAGTAGTAACGTAGGGTAAGTAAAACTTATTAGATTATGGTATGCCAATTTTGCATGTGACAGACAATCTGCTGTATTCTGCCCCACAAAAAAAAAAAAGGGGGGTAAAGATAACTTTGTTTGCCATTTTAGACATCTTTATTCATAGGCTCTCCTTCTGTACATACATTGCATCTTAAGAGAACAAATGTCAAAGAGCAGATATCTCATTTTAAAATATGTCAAACTGGGGCATCGCAGGCCTGTTGGAGCTGAAGCTGGACACTTCCTGCAGCAGCTGGCGTCAGTTTACAGCCAACAGTGTGCCAGAACCACTCTCCTCCAGCAAGAATAACAGCTGGCACTGATTCCCATCATGCCAGCACAGGCTGGTGGACTTGATAATATTACGCTCAAGGTGGAGGCCCAGGCTTGCTTTAAATTCAGCTGTAATGACACTGCTTTGAGCTTTGTCTCCTTCACTATTATCTGCTGCTTAAAATGCTGGTGACACAAGGTGAATAAAATCCTTGTTTTCTGTTTCTAGATCTGAAATCAGATATCAGTGTTTTCAAGATCTCAGGTGAGGCATCACCTGTGAGGCATCCTTGTGTATCTAGTAAATTGATTCTGATGAATTTGTTTAATCTAGTGAACAGTTTCCAAAATATTTAACAGAAAGTTTTGGCTTCTCCATCAATCTATTACCTCCCGCTTATCCAATTCGGGGTTCTAGTTTTGATTTTCAAATTCAAAATTTAGAATTAATACCTCTTAAGCACCAGATGCCATCGGGCATTTTTTTTTTCCAGACTATTAAAAACACTATACAGTCATGTTTTTTTAATACCGATTCGAGGTCTAAAACAATTTATTTATATAGCACCAAATTACAACAACAGCCCCAACATATTATTGCAGGGTCTTTACCTCATCAGTCAAGCCTAAAATGGTTAAAATGGTAGTTGTCAGAGTGGTTGGCTGGAAGTTTTATCAGCTGGTTTGCTCTGACACGATATGAAATGACTAGCCTGAGTTAAAATTCCAAGGAAGTTTCTTACCTCTCTGTATCCAATAAAGAAATACAAGTAGGCAAACCTGAGAGAGAGAAGTCTTTATCCCCTCAGCTGACATATAAGACTGATGAAGTTTGTACTTGTGCGTGTGCAGACAATGTTATACCAAGAATCTGAGAAGCTGAGTGTTGCTTTTTAGGTTTACGGCAAAGCCCTCCTTCATTTTTGGTGTGCCATGTCTGCACAAACAAATGACTCAAGACTGCTGACAAGTGCATTCACTGAACAGAGCTCCCTTTTTCTTAGTCTAATACAATATCTTCTGCTTCCAGATGTTATTCCAGCATTTTGTATCGAGGTCTGTAATCGTGTTTCTTTACTGATCTGTTGCAGCGAATCAATGGGACTAGGAAGTTTGGACAGCCTCTGTAGTGGGAACAAAATAAATTTCAAACTAACAGCAGCACTACAGTGTCTGTAGTGTCAAGGGTGATGAAAAGCAGATTTATTATAGTCTCCTGTTTTAGTACTCACTGTCAAATATTGTAATTAAGCTGTTTTATGACCTAAACTACACACAAAGAAAAAGTAGTAGCACAGAATTTATCCCTGAAGAAATGTTATTCATTTAAAAATATTTTCTAGAATTGTTTTTCACACAAAAGAAGATTCCCCTGCCTACAGGACTGAGATGGCATCGCCTAAACCTTTGTGATTTGCAGATCTCCAACGATGAGCAGAATGTGTTATTTCCTTTGTGCCATTTTGGTGCATTTCTTGGAGGGTGTTTGTGTATTGTGGCCTTTATTTGAGGCATTTTGCAGGATTTTGTGATGTGTGAAGTTTGGAGGCATTGTGTGATGCTGTGCAGCTGTACCATATTTTGTCATTTTGTCATTTTGTCGCAGTTTGCAACACTGCCAGTGAGCGCCCAGTCCCTGCAGCTGTTGGCATTCAAGACATTTCAGCCTGGCAAAGTCAGCACACTGGCACCAGCTGATAAAATATCTTTGGCTTCTCTTCTTCAAACCATATTTCTTTTTTCTGGTTGTATTTGAACAGGTGCTGTTAAGGAATCATGTAGGTTTTAGAAGCATTTTGTGCAATATTGTAACTATTCTAATATTTATACAATGTAAGAATATGATCTGATTTATATCTTTTTGGTTCACTCTTTTTATTTTACATAGGCTTTGCCATCTAGGAGCTGTTACGTTTGGGATAAGGTCAAAGATCAGTTTTGTCAGAGGCCCTCTAGATCCAACGGAATCCAGAGGAGCAAAAACAAAAAAAAGAAAAGAATACACAAAATATAAATGACGCTGATGCCTATCTCCATTAAAATGTGACTGAATGGACATGATGGTAAGCAGAACTCATACGGCTTTTTAATCTTTGCTCTTCTTCAAACTGTGGCTGAAGAAAATGATGGCAGGACTCAGGCTATGCACTAGAGGCCAGCAGATTACTCCAAATACTGTCAAATATATCAACTATATGTAAAACCTATTTTTTTTTTTTCATTTAGCAACTATATGTTGCTCCTCTGTTCTCCCTTTTCTACCCACCTGAGTTTTCTTTGGACTCGGACTCAGAGTCTGAAGTTTCAGACGACTCTGAAGCTTTCTCAGGCAGGTTTGGCAGCTGGGCAATGTCCATGGGTGTGTCTTTATACTCTGGATTACTGCAAAGACACAGAAAATTTGTCAGTGACAGAAGAAACGTTTGTTCATCGATTGCCTTGGTCAAATCTAATGAAAATAAATGTCAGCTATAATCAGGGGTGCACATAAGTGGTACGCAGGTGCGCATTCACTGTCAAAATAAAAGAAGTTGCAACGCGCGTTTGCGCACATAAGATTTTCTGGAGGAGGACAGACATTTGTTTAGAACTCTTAAAGATGTCGAAGAAGCAAACTCCTTTAAGCAATTACTTTGGTGTTCCTCCACCTCCAAAGAAATGTCAGAAGGAGTCCGAACCGCAAAAGAAGCGCGTATTCTCGGAAAAGTGGTTGCTGGAG